TATGTACCTAGAATTAACCGATAAGCCATTTCAATGTATTTTAATTGTAATAGTTCACCCAAAAATTCTGGCATTTCCCCAAAACAAGGAAACAACAAAATAAATTCTAATTACAATCTTGTACCTTAAATGAAGAGAATTCTATTTTGTTTAAAGAATTGAAACCAAAGTGAAAAATTAAAATACTTCAGTGAAAAATACAAGTCAAAATTTTACCTTTAAACCCTTTCGCAATGGCGCACCTTTGTTTAAGACGCTCGTGTGGGATGGAAGGGAATGAAATTCAGTCAGTGTACAAGACAAAGATTTTGCATCGCTAAGCCTAATTTTATAAGAAAAATCAGAAAAAAAAAAAAAAAAAAAGCTTCACTTCTAGCATCGTAATTTTTGGTATCATTTTAGATTATTACTTGAGCTCTTATATATGTTAAAACTAGCACTTAATAACGTTTTTATTTTACATTACTTAAAAAATTGCTTATTTTGTTAAACGATTTTCGGAAGCGCTGTTCAAATTTTTCCAAAGTTTTAATTGATAAAATCCATCAATAAAGTTTAAAGTTAATAAAACAACACAATAAAAACTATTTACAGTAAGAAGTAACAAAATTTAAAATGAATAAATATCACTTTCTAACTCTTTAGAAAATGAATCATCACTCTCATCTGCATTAGTAAATGGTTCATTAACCATACAAGAATGTTCTTCCTCTGATAAATAGCGCCTTCCCGACACAATAGACTGGAGGTGAGGCTTTCCGAAATAAAAACAAAAGAAACAGAAATATATCTGAAGGCAATGCAAAACGTAACAGAATTCCATATACAGTCAAAAGTCGTTAATCCGGACTCGTCGGGATTTCGGCGATTCCGGATTATAGATCATCACTTTAAATCTGGTAACATGGCATGCATAAATTATAAAATTAAAAATATGAAACCATAATTTATGAAATAAAGAACAATTATGATTTAAAGGGTATCAAAATTTACAAAAAGAAAAAGCTTAATATTTATTTGTTTACTTTATTAAACATTTCTTTCAATGTAAGTTGTTTAAGTTGCTTCGTTTCATGTGATAATACTTTCTCTTTAATTCTATAAACAGACATAATTTCTTCTTCAGTTACAAAGTTCCGCTGTTCAATTCCTATAATTGCTGTGTCGAGAATACCGACTAATTTGTCAATCGAAATGTTTTCATTTTCAATAACCTCTGTTACTTTCTTCGCTATCAGAAGCGAATTATAATGATGAGGAATTTGATTTAAATCATATTAAAGACGGAGTACATCGAGATGAAATACTACATTTAGTAGGGAATTATAAGCCAAATAAAATAAAAACATCTGCCCTGAAGATAAGGATAGTGCTGACAGATCAACTTCCAATTCATTGCGTGCTGCATCGTTTCCCTCCCACCGCAGAATAGTGTGAAATTGATAAACATATTTCGGAATGTTTAGATAATCAAAGGATATGCCTTTATCCATTTATTGCAGCAATTCCACTTTCTGTTTAATGGATTTCGAAACATACTTTCGCTTTGTAGATCCTTTACATATTAGTAAATATATATATCGGAAATTCTATTTGACATAATCGAAAGTTCAAGCTTACTTTTATAAAATTGCTCTAACAGTCTGCAAAAAATAATAAGCCGGATCCAATTCGAAGATTAAGGAACAACGCAATCTGCAACATTAACTGAATTAGATAATTTTAGCTTAGCTTATACTGTCCGTTATACATTAAACACGAATGCGCACACTCATATTCGCAGCCGTAAAGGTCTTACGCGCATGCGTAAACGCCTATGCGCATGTGTCAACGCGACACATGCGCAGAAAGTTTGTAGCTTTGAGGTCCGGATTATAGATCATTCCGGATTATGGTTGTCCGAATTAACCACTTTTGACTGTACTAACCCTAAAAGACCGTACATAGTAGAGGCAAAAAATAGAATAAAAAAAGAAATTTGATATAAATCGGACACGCGAATGTTTATGTTAGCACACAGCTATTTAAAGAGCCCACCTTTGTTTATGCTTTCCCTCCCCCCACCCTCGCAACAGTTGATCAGTAAAATACCAAAGTCAGGCAGAATATATTAAACTCAAGATTAGGAACCTGAAACTGTGTTCATTTCAAAAGTAATGTACATAGGATGCCATCTAGTGGCCTTCAGAAAAACGTTCCAGCTTAAACTGCATATATGCATCTCCCGTCCTCTGAATGCAATATCTAGCGATGCGTGGATGGAACACCCGGCTGTAAGAGACGTTCTTAGGAAATGCATATATGGGACGCCTGTCCTGAAAGGGCTACTAAAGACAGCTGCGAAATTTCGGCCTGGAAAATTCTGCCCCGTTACCCCTCAATTCCCCTATCAAAGTATAGGCTAGCTATGAAAGAAATTTTTTCATTAGTAAATAATTTTAGAAGTGATAATTGGACAGAATATCTGAGAAGTTTAGCCCATAATTATGATGAAATGTGATAGTATTGTATTTGATATTGACATAATTTTCCAACTCTGTGTAATTTATTTATATCCCGTATTTGTAAACGAGTAATTTTATGCATTATGAGCAATCTTTATTATGTATTGTATTTCTACTTGATGGTGAAATGGCTCATGGGGCACTTGTCAAGGGATTGTCCTATTTGCAAAAAGACAATGGCTGAAAGTCTGAGACCCCTTCTTAGTCCATGTAAATAACATTTAAACTTCTGTAACTTTTTGTTCCTTCCGTTTTTAATATCTAGAAGTGAAAAGTGCATACATTAGCTATGAAGAAATTGAAGACAGACTTCACTGAATTTATTGCTGAGAAAATAAAGTAGAAATTTGGGTCCTTTTTCTTTCAAGGGGAAAAAAAATCAGAGAACTTTATAATATGTTCAATACCTGGTAACATTGACATCCATCCTGTTTTAAAATGTGAGAGCACAGTTTTATGTTTTACTTTGACAAAAATCGCAGAAATCTTTCAGCTTCTCTTTCCTGGCTATATAAGAAAATAATTGAATAATTTTTGAATTATTTGATCAGTATTGCTTGATAATTGGTCAGCTGCTGTTTGTAATATATTATGTAAAATATGAGCAGGGCATCCAGTTCTTTCAAAACTGTTCCAGTTTCTTTTTTAGTTTATTGTACACATTATTAGTAGCATGTGTGTCTTGTCCTCTAAATATAGCATTAGCATTGTCATCTCCAAATCCAGTGCATTTTTGCATGTCAGTATTTAAATCCTTTAAAAATTTTACCGCTATATCTGATGTCTTCCCCCTTAAACTTCAGTAATGTTATATTTATACTTGTTTTGTAATAATATTGAATAAAGAATAGAAAAAATTTTTGAATGATTATTTGCATCATTGCTAATGCTATAAAATGAGCAGCTTTGAAGTTCTTAACAAATGAGATCAACTAAATGAAGCCCAAGAACCTGCTTAATCAAACTTGTCAACTAAATGAAGCCCAAGAACCTACTTAATCAAACATGTTTTTGTTCTTGCTAGGACATAATTGTAGGATAGTTTTTGAGTCATTAAATAATTTTGCTATTAACTTATCAAAGCAGTCTGTAGAAGCAAAAGATTAACGTTTTTTTACCACATGGTATGCAAATGCCATGATGTTTATCGACCAGATAGTTTGATGCAGTAATTTTTTCTTCTTCTAAACTGTCATGTTTTATGCAGTAATTTGGGAGAATTTAGCTCATATTTGAGGAAGATATGTTACATTTTTCTCTCTTTTCCAATGTGATCTTTAATACCTACAATTCCTCCATGATTAATATTAAAATATATATTACAGAGTTTGTAGAAAGCTTGAGATTCTGTTCTGTCTTTTTAAATCAAAGGATATTTCTTCCTGTATTTGTCAGAAAATTTGCACTTTCTGTTTGACATTTTGGGCAGGGCTAAAAGACTATAAAATATTTGGAAACTGTGTCATTAATTTTAAAAACAATATTAAAAAAATAGTTGCTTTATTTAATATGTACCTACATCAGTAACAAAAAACCAAAGCTGTAGAAATAAATTATGTCTAAATAAATATTATGTCTTCTATGTTGTCAATCACCTTTTAATCAGCTGATAACAGTAACCATCAGAACCTCTCCATTTACAGTTGCTGTCTCAGAGTTGTGAGGAATGTGGCGTGCTGGATGCCGAATTGAGGGTATGCTACTGGTTTGACAATGCAAATGTTGGTGAGAATCAGAGAGTCAATAAACTGGGACATTTGAACATTCCCAAAGATGTAGTAGGGACACCATGATTTGAAATTTAAAAATGGGACACCCACTAAGCCTATTCTTAAGTGAAAGCAAAACATTGGAACTTTCAAATAAATAAATTAGTAAAATAATTCACATATGCTTTTGTTTAAGTTTAAATTAAAGAATTTTCCCAAATAATTTCTTTGTTCAGATTTATCTGTGTGCTTTATTTATGACTACATCAAAAATTTCCTTGGTTCAGTATTTGAAAGTGACAGTCCAAGCTGTATGTAGTGTAAAGTTTAATTTTTCTCTCTATATGGCACATGTTAAGCATGGATGTAATTCATTATCTTAAGCTTTCCACATTTTTGAATAGTTAGTTTACATATTATTTGAGTCTTTTTGAAGATAATTCTTTTAATTAAGATGACTATTTGTAAAATGTTCACTTTTAGATCATTCATACATTAGTGAAAAATGCAATCCTGTATTAACATGAATTGCATAGCAGAGGATGTATGGCATGTCCAGAAACTCAGCAGGTTTAAATGGACATGCTAAAGTGCAATTTTAAAAGACCTCTTAATTATGAAAAAAAGTGGTTTTACAAAGAGGCTTTAAAAAGGTCTTGAATCAGTTCTTGATATGCCTAATTTCCTTCATAAAGATTATATGGGTGATAAAAGTGTTTTGTTTTTTAAAGTTAGGAACTGGTTTCATAGACTTGTTACATTTTGATGAGTTTCGTTTTTTTCATAGCCCCTCTCTTCAGTTTGAAGCGGCTTGCACCCTAACAAATATTGCATCAGGAACTACCGTGCAGACAACAGCAGTTGTAAATACAGGTAATTTTTTTGTTTAATTTCTTATTAAATTAATAAGTTGAACTGCAATAAGTATTTAAAAATCTGATTTGATGTTAGTTTGTTATATTTAATTCCAGAAAATAATACTTTATTCCCTACCTTTTCATGAATTTTTTTAGGCGCAGTCCCTATATTATTGGAATTACTTAAATCACCTCATCAAAATGTATGTGAACAAGCAGTTTGGGCTTTAGGTAACATAATTGGTATGTTATAAGAAGTTTAAATGTTTCCATTTGTAGAGTAAAAATATGTAAAATTTTGCATATTACTTCTCATAACTAGAAATTAAGCTTGATGAGAATGTAAATAAATTACACCCTTAATCCTTTTGTTAATCTTTCTCATTTTTATATGAATTATTTTTGACTAATTTGGTGTGTGGTAATATTTTTGCAGTTGCTTTCTTAGATTTTTCTAGTTTATCTAATGCATTTATTCAAGCCATTCAGATTAACTTTTTAAATTTGTTGTTCAAGTATTTATAATTAATATATTTTTGAACATTTTAAAGAAATATAGAAAATACCATAATAAATGCTATTAATAAATGCTGTGAATTAACATGGAAATTTGTATTAAACATTTTAAAAATTTATAACATAAAATTAAAAAATTGTGTTTATAAGGCTGAATTTGAGTTTTTGATTTTGTTTGGAAAAAGAATGTCACTAATAAAAAGTTCCCTCTAAGGAAATCTTAGCCTTTCATTTACTATTATCATGTTATCCTTTCATTTAAATACATCACTTGTTTTCCTTCTAAAACTTGAATTGTATTGTGTAACCTGAGTTGTTAATAGGTAGTGTGAAAAGATTTTTTAATATTACCTCACTTTCCCTTTAAAATATTTCTTTCTTGTCTATGCAACTTTGTCATCACTTTTTATACTGCTGTTTTCTAGTTTGCATGTAATCAGTTTTGTAATGGGAGTTTTATTTAACAGTTCTCATATAAACAGTATAATATGTAAAACTTTCTCTTTACCCATTAGCAAATCTTTCAAATTTCCGACTAATCTTCATTTGCATTGTTATTTCTGAGCCATGAATTTTGAAACTTTCAATTTTTTCTGTAATTTTCTTTCGTAGTGTAAGTTTAAAAGGCACAAAAGTTTTTTTACACAGATGCTTTCCACTTTACAAACTTTTGCAAATATAAACAAACTAGTTCTCAAAGAGTAACATTTGTCCTTACATTTTTAGAAAATTGAGACCCAAGTTTTGAGACGTTAGCTAAAATAAAGTCTGCTGTGCTGTCGTTTTATAGAAGATGAAAGAAAAAATAAACCTGTTCAGACAGGTTTGAAACTTATTTTCTTAAGAAATGTTTGAGAAATTTGTGTTGTGGGCTCATCTAGCATGTCAGCTCCTTCTATTTCTCATACAACCTCCTCATCACAAATGTCCCCTTTACTTACAAATATTCTTAGTCTTCAGATGGCAAGTCAAGCATTGACTCACTCCCAACTTTTTTATTTATAATGTTTAGTGTTTGATATTTTAAATGTGTTATTTGTTTTTGTATATTTAATTGTTTATTCTACAGTAGGTACATACGTATTAACGCAACCAGGCCAAAATTCGCATAAATTGCCAAATTTGGTGACCCTACTTACGGCAATGCAGGCAATTTGCACGAAATGCAGACAATGCAGGCAATTTGCACGAAATGCAAATTTTTGTAATTTATGAGAAAATAGCAGTGTACATGGATAAAGTCAAGAGTGTGCGCAATGCCATTTTTGTGCAATTCTGGGATGTTTTTTTTAAGTAAAAATAAGTCGACGTGTACATGGTTTATGGCGAATACGTTTTTCAATCAGGCTAAAAGCAATAGCCAAAAGATTTCCGCCGAAAAAATAATTCTGCAACTTAGTCAAATTCGAAATCCGGAAGGGTTTATTGCTATTTTATATTTTAAAACAAAATAATATAAAAAACTGTATTAAAAATTATCTGTAATTAATAAATGTTTATTTTCTTTCTATTCATACTTTTTTACTCAAACTTACAAATCGCCCCAACCTGGTTGCGATAATACGTAAGTACCCTACAGTATTTACAGCTCTTATTGTAAGAACAGTGTTAGGAGATATGCAGAGCAAACTTAGTAACATTTTATGAAAAATTCATGGTGCAGATAATTGTTCAGAATGTAACTCATTCTTAAGGCGAATAGCATCTGTGTATATTATGTGCTTATTAAAATTTCAAAATTCATGTAAAGATTCAGAAAAACTTCAGTTAATTGTTGTCTAAGAGATTTTCAGTTTCATTTAGCCAAATGTGTTTTCATAAATCTCTGAAGATATTATTGGTAAAATACCCTACAGTAAATAATACTGTTACGAAATGTCCAGGTGCGGTGAAATAGCTTCCCTGCAAAGCCTAGAATGTTCTCGAATACCAGCCAAAAGCTATATAAACCCTGCTGGTATGCAGAGAGTAAGTATTGAGTTTGTGTCTTGTCTAGCGAGTCAATCCCTGCGGAGTTGATCAAGTTGAAAGCCGGGCAGAGAGTGCTGAGTGGGTCATCAAGTGCATTGAAAGAGTCTCGTAGTGTATCGCAGTTTGTGCATCGTCGAGAGAGCGTGTTGAGCTCCGGGAACGACTGAATAAAAGAGTCGGGAGCTGTGCTCTGTGTGTCATCGAGTGCATCACGAGTTGTAGTGTGGAGAGTGTCGAGAGTACGTGGAGTTCCGAGAACGACCAAGCAGAGTCGGGAGCTGTACTCTAGTGCTTTGCTGTGAAGCTGTCTCCACTGTGGATAGCCTGATAACCTGAAAGCTGTGTCGCTGATCGTTTCAGCGTCTTTATAGTAGTTCATCAACGACTATAAAAATGTGTTTTGGAGCTGCCCTGACAATACTGGCCAATAAAGTGTGTTTCGATACTTCATCAAGTAGTATTGTCATTATTCACTTCAAATCCTCACAAACCCCGTACGAATGCAAAGGAAGAAAATAACGTAACAACTGGTGTCAGAAAAAAAATAACAATACTTTATTGATATATTATATTGTGTCTTTTTGCTAAAGCATGCAACATGTTTATTGTCCTCATATATCTGGTTGTAATGAAAGTTTTCCACCAGGAAACATTCTTAATAAAGTTAGGGAAAAAAAAAGAAAACATGAAAGCAGTACCTTTAGTGCAGGTAGTAATCACCACACAAATCTATTATTATCTGCCAAAGTTTGTAGTTTTCCAAAGCTTTCGGCTCAGGAACTTGGTGGCTACCAGTCCAAACACAGATTAACCTCATTTTGGACGTCCTGTGCAGAATAGAAGATAGTACCAGCAAGATGTAACTGCAGGTGTGAAAAAATGTAGAAGTCCAAAGGAGCGATGTCCCAGCTATATGGTGGATGGGGCAAAAGCTCCCACACATGTGGTCTTGGTGTTGGTGTATTTAATTATGGCAAAGCACACAAGGGCTATCTGCCTAAGAGGAGGGATGCCTTCGTGGAGGACTTTCTAAGGGAAACTGGTTCATATACACGTTACACATGGGGAAAACCACGAAAACACCCATGCAAGCCAGCCCGTTCTTCTGGAATTCGAACCTCAGGACCGAACTACCAGTGTTCAGCGACTTTACCGCTCGGCGCTGGTGGGCCCACATGTGGTCTTGCATTATCTCGATGGAACATTACCTTTTTGTGCCGGAACTGAGTTCAGAATTTTTCCTTGATAGTAGCATCAACATGGACTAGCATTTTGCCGTATACTTTACTGTCAACCTTACCGTAGACTTTACTTTTTCCAGATACTCTTTGTAGATAATACCATGGCTACCAGTACAGGACGACCTTAAGGTCGTCTACTGGTTCCCGGTAAGGACTACTGGTTCCCGGTACTAAGGTACTGCTGGGTTTCCGGCATGTGGGAACAAAAGGGAATGAGCTGGCAGATATCGCAGCGAAATGTGCTGTTGAACTGTCCAGTCGTCTCATCCCTTTTGGAGACATCTGTTGTGTTGTGAAAAACAAGATCCGAAAAAAATGGCAGCAACTTTGGGATGTTCAGCTTCAAAACAAATTAAGACATGTAAAGCTTAGAATTGAGCATTGGGAATTAACCAAAAATCGTAATTAGGAAGTTCTTTTGACTCGCCTCAGAATTGGTCACACTAGAGCGACACATAACTACCTTTTGAAAGCTGAGAATGAGCCTGTTGTTCAAATTGTAATGTTTGTTTATCTGTCCGTCATATTTTATTTGAGTGTCCATATTTTAATAGTCTTCGTCAGAAACATTTTAATAACTGTGACTTACCTCTCGACCGTTTGATCGGAAGAGAGGCTAATTGTAATTTATTTTATTATTTAAAAGAGACTGCTTTTACGTAATGTAATTTGTTTTGAAGATTGTGTCTTTGATTGTTAATGTGTGCTTTTACCTTGTTTTTATATGACTTCATCCTCCGGATTTGATACATTTGTCCACTTGGTTTTTTTAATTGTATTTTAATTTCATCAATTGTAATCATCTCATCCTGTGTTTGGCGTATTTTAATCATCTTTGGTTTTGCGCCAATAACCTCTCACTCACTCAACTCATGTGGCTCTCAGCAGTTGATTTTGTATGTTAAGTTTATGCAATGCATAAGCATGAGTAATGGACATGGCACTAAAGTCTAATTCCTTAGCAAGTTCTCGAGTGGCTGCGTACTGCCCTTCTTCTGCAAGTTATTGCAGGTGGGCCTCATCAACATCAGTAGGCCAGTCAGAGCACTCTGCTTTTTAAATGCAGTGGTGTTTGTGCTCCGGGGAAACCCCGGAATTCTGGGGTCCGGGGATCGTCATTCAAAAGGAAGTAGGAATAATAATGAATTATTTATTTTGATCTGGGTAATTTTGTTTGCTTTGAAAGCAGAAAACGCAAGGTCAGTGTGTGTGGTAAAAACTTTTCCTTTCTTTCTCCAAAGGCAGTGATAATGCGTGAAAAGGGGGGAAAAACTTCTTTTTTGTTCTTTCCTTATTGCGAGTTATGACTCATTCCCCCGGTTCTCGGACATTCTCTTCTGGATTCTTTTCAGCAAGTAGGCACGGCAGAAAAAAAAAGGGAGAGACTTTGTTCGACCAGATGTGCAATCACATGATTCTGGGTTCAAAGGTCTTATCTCTCCTGGCGTGGCGCCAATAAGTAGAGAAGGGGGATTTTTCGCTGTATTAGCTATTTGTCATTGATCGCTTCTCAACTTTTTTTTTCTCCGCTGTGTAAAATTTTCGTTTCATTTATTGATGCACGTGTAAATTTTTCGTTTTGTTTATTGAAATATTTTTTTTATTTATGTATGCAAGAGAATTTTACTATGAAATTTCTCGATATAAATAGTGATATTATTCAATTAGAAGAAGGTGTCCGGAATGCATTTAGGTAGAACTGGATTGAGCATAGAGATGGTAATGGGGATACCATCAGCACATGGTGCAAGAAAATAAATGTTGCTGGACAAGCATATTGTGTTTTTTGTAACTGACTGCTGAAGTATGGTGGGGAAGGATTCAAGGCTTTCACAACTCGTTCTAAAACTGTGACGCACATAAAATATTCAAAGTGCATTAGACATTCAATGACTTTAAGTAATTATGTTAATTCAAAAAATACTGATGACTTACTGGAGACTGGTGCTCGGCCATTGGATATAGTGACAAGAAAAGCACGCCAAGAGGTATTAATAACTTCGTTTATCGCCGAGAATTCTCTTTCTTTCAATGTAGCTCCCAATTTAATTGAACTCTGCAAACAGTTGAGCCGCGATCAGAGGGCACTAAACTCATTGGAAATGACTAGGACTACTGCATGTTATAAGATGAAATATGGGCTCGCAAAAACTATTAAGGAAAATATTAAAACTTTAAAGGAGACTCCATTTTCTCTAAATTTGGATGAAAGTACTAGCAATGCTCAAGAAAGTAGACTGGCAATATTGGTGCAGTTTTATGACAACAATCAAAATGAAGTTGTAGTTCATCATTTTGCATCTCTAAAGATGGAAACTTGCAATTCAGAAGCTGTTTTTAAAGCAGTTGTTAATACTATTGAAGATAATAATATTCCATGGGCAAACTTAATTAGTGTATTAATGGTCTCATGTAACACCATGCGTGGAAAAAAAAGGGCGTTGAAACCAGACTACGATCAAACAAAGCACCCCACTTATTAGATATTGATGGTGACAACATGTCAAACAGCTAATAACTGTGCAAAAAATTTGCTTCATGTTTTGATAGATACTTAGAAGATTTGTTTGATGACATCTATTTTGATATGAAAAGCTGCAGTAAAAGAGAAAATTTTTTCAAAAATCTGTGAATCCCTTGCCATTAAAAAACTTAAGCCCTTGAAGAGACCAGACCATAGGTGGGTGTACATTTATGTGTTTTAGAAAGAATCAAAGATCTGTGGGATGCTGTTATTGCATTTATTTTCACTACTTGGATAAAACTGATAAAGGGGATTATTTTTCTTATGTTGAAACTGTATACAATAAAAGAAATATTTCTGCAGCTCAGAAAAAAATTGTTGTAGGGGTGTATTCTTGCTTGCATTCCAACAACTCGCAAAGGATGCTTTAGCTCGGAAAAAAAAGAATACTAAATGGGTTATTTGTTATGCAAAACAAAACTTTATTGCATATGGCATTATATTCAGCAGTATTACCAGAGTTCAACACATATATTAAATTATTTGAAACAAAAAAACCAATGCTTCGTTTAATACATTCCCGTATTTGTAAATTGATGGCAAAGTTTTTTCTTTTTTATGAAGCCAGAAAATTAGAGTGCACATCTAAATGATTTATTAAAGGTTGATGTCACAAATCCAGAATTCCATCTACCTAGCAAAGTAATTACTGGTGCAGAAGCTTCCACTCTCCTGAAGAATTATCAAAAAATCATCCAATAGCAAAAGAATTCCAAATTTCTCTGATGGAAAGCTTATAAGGTAACTATTCGGTTCAGAGGGCCGTAAAAAATCGCCAAACTTTGTTGATGCCAATGCTGCCAAAGTAATTGCGGCAACCCTAACGCAAGAAAGGAAGTATAATAGTAAATCCTATCTAATATTGATGTTTTAATTTAGATGAAAGTTTAGTTGATATAATATTTCGCTACCGAGTTATCGCTAAACCATAATGTCATCTCGTTGTTGTTCAAACATAATTTCTGTAATGAATGATGCCTTTTTCTTTGAAAACATTCTTGGTAAGTGCAGATCGCCCTTATTTGTTTGCCGCTTTTTACAGGGAAAAAACAATTGGATTTTTGTCAATTTTCTTTTACTTTTTAAGTGACAATAGGTTGATGTGTACATAGATAAGTCAGGGGGTGGCGCGTGCCCTTTTGGTGGCAATTCTGGGATTTTATTTTAAGTAAATAAGTCGATGTGCACATGGATACCGAGTATTTGCAATTCTAAAAACGCTTCAAGCAGTGGGTGATTCTGCACTTTACCTATAATTCTATCGCAGACTTTCATCGTGGGCAATTCCCAAATATAAATCCATAGTATCAAAAAAGGAATAAAAATTAAACTAGTATTTCAATGGCGTGTTAAGAAATATAGAACTATATAAACTTATGCAATCTGAAATCAGCGCGTACACTAGATTTGGCACGCTGTTAAATGGGCGTGTTTGCTAGATTTGACGCTTTCGTGCATACATTTTCGCTGGAATTTTTTTACGGCCCTCAAAACCGAATAGTACCGCTTATACTAATACAGCACAGAAATTATGAAACAGAAATTACCCCTTAAAAATTCATATCTAATTAGTTTTACAGCATTAGATCTAGAGCTAAGAGGTAAACCGTACAATATTAGCTTTTGAAAATTATCATCTTTTATGTCCCATATTTTAGTGATAATGAAAAGTCAAAAGTAGAAGCTGAAATAAGGTTATACCAGAGTGATATTGATATCACCAAGAAGTGCTTACACATCTGATGAAAAGTGAAATCAGTCAAGTGTACAAATTGATAAATTTGGTCTAAAGTTTTTAATTTAAAAGATGATTTCACAAATGATTATAAGTATCCTACATTGGCTAAATTGGCAAGCCTGCCTTAGCTGCTTCCATGGCCATTAGTGGAAAGTGCTTCAACTTAATGGATACACTTGTCACTGACTATAGACCTCTCTAAGATTGATTCCCCTAGATGCAGTGCAGACTATTAATATGATTTAATGGCTTCTAAAGAAACCTCATGTGAAAATATGGCTCAAAAATCCAATGACTGATCCATTCACAAAGATCCTTACTGAATTGAATAGAAGTTGGAAAACATATCAAGCGACTTAAAAACATGTATTTCAGATGAGTCACCTATAAAAAGTCTCTGAAAAACCTTACATTAGCAGAAAAGCAAACTGCTTCTACCTCTGCATGTGCAGTTCTCGAGGAAATTTCTTTAACTGTAAATGAGGAAAATAAAAGTCAACTTTCCTGCAATATGAAGTTCACCACAAAAGAAAGACAAGTCCACAAAACATCAGAAAATAAAAAAAAGCAGCAGAAATTAGATATTTTTTTTTTAAAGAATTAATTCAGGTAATTTAAAATATTTACATAAATGTAGTAGTTTATATGTTTGAAAATTTATGGTTATTAATTTGCAAAAAAAGTAATTCATTGAACTTTATAATTAGGTCATTCAATACTTCATAATTGTAATTTTTCATTTCTCTCCCCCTCTTCTCGAAACTTCAAAATGTCGGTAGTAAGTCCGTAAAAGTTTCAGGGGATGTTTTGGGGTCCCACAAACACCCCTGTGAATGTCACAGTCCTTGGTTTTGAACTTTTGGTACTAAAGTTTTACAGTGTCATATGATATGTTAGTACCTAAAGCTGTACATGTGATTCAGTGACATGCTGTAGCTGACTTTTTTGCAACAAAACTGGAAGTAAATGATGGTTCTGATCTGCTATTGTGTTAGTTCAGCACACAATGTTCTAAAGCACAGTGTTCTAAAGCAAGTCTCTTTCAAATGCTAAATATCGTTTGACAGAATATGATTAAACACACAAACATGAACTGTTTGCACAGATGATATTTGAGGTGGCAGGAAACTCATTAAATCTTAATATATTAGAGTGACTGAACTCCTACATAACTATATCTGTCAGAAACTTTTAAAAATAAATACTTCATTATAGATATTTAATCATTTCTACCCATCCTCTTAATTTGTTTGTTATCCCTGGAATTGGTTTAGATTAATGATTTTCTTAGATAGAAATCTCATATTACTCAAAATTGGTGGAAATTGCTCAAGTGTTGCTTTTAAAATGATTGTTTAATAGGAATTTTTTAGTCACAGGAGCTGATTTCATGTTAGAGGATTTTAGGATTAAACGTTTGGTTATTTTTCTTTCAGGTGATGGTCCAGTTTTTAGAGATTATGTGATAAGGTTAGGAGTTGTTCCACCTCTATTATCATTTATCAAACCGGATACTCCTGTACCATTTTTAAGAAATGTTACCTGGGTTATTGTGAATCTGTGTCGAAGCGAGGATCCACTTCCTCCAGTTGAAACTATGACAGAATTGCTCCCAGCTCTTTGTATGTTGATACATCATACTGATGTAAATGTAAGAATTTATTTTCATTCCCATTATTCTGATTAAGTTTTGAATGCAGTGTTTTTCTTCTGTCACATTTATGTTATTCATTCAAATGTCATTTTAGGCTTTCATTTTCTAAATGTTAAGTTCATTTTCTTTAATGACTAGTTGTTTTTTTATCTGTATGAAAAGATTTAGCATTTAAATGAAGAATTTTGTGGGAAGTAATTCAAGACTTTCTTCCATAAAATAAAAAATGTTTAACATTATTTTCATTGCTTGGAGGAGAGCTTTTATTTAAAGCTGTAAATTCTATTATAAAAGTAACATATGTGTTTGACTTTTTTAAATACAATTATTACAAAAGATCATAAAATTCTGAATTTTATGAACTTCGGACTAATTTTTAAAATGACAGTGCTTGTTAGAAATATATAAAATGCTCAAAAGTAGATTAAGCTATTGTAGCTACAGTTTTCTACATAAGAGTAATCAAGTGCTTGCTTTTAGAGTTTCTCAAGAAATTTCTCCCTTTCCAATATTTGATGGGCCCATCTCTATGTGTCTAATTTGGCAACTCTTCATTGAGTTAAAATTTACGCTTTATAGTGTAAGACTACTTTAAGAAATTGGTTTTTTTAAAAGGTGGTTTCATTGTTCATCTGATATTCTCTTCTAATGTTTCACAGAAGTAATGAAATAGTAGAAAAAATAAAAACAGTTTAACACTGGAAGGCATCAGGGTGAAAGTGCAGCACAGTTTGAAAGCTAATGCTGAGCTAGAAAATATGACAGCCCCTACAAATTTTGTGAAGTTCAATTTGTTGCTCTTTTTCTATAAGTTTTTCATTCTTCATAAATTTCTTCACTTATTTGTTGTTCTCCAACAGGGTAATACAGCAGAAATATGTTTTTTGAAACAAAATAGCTTTTGCCGGCTTTTAACTCCTGGCACTGGTTGAGTTGTTAAAGCAGAAGAATGCAGAAAGTTCATTCCATGTTTATTTCTGTGATTGTATAATTGACTTGTAATATAAATATAAGAGAATTTGAGATAGAAAACTTTCTGCAAAAGAATTAGCAATTTTTTCTCCCTGGAGGAAATAACAAAAAAAAAAAAAAAAAAAAAAAAAAAAAAAAAAACCTATTTAAAAAAAACCAATATTACATGGTTGGTATGATTGTTAATACATTGTATGTCTCCCAGACGATGCAATACAGTCCATACAACGCCTAGGCATGTTGAGTATCAAATTATCGATCTGATCTTGGGGGATATTGCACTACTCAAAAAGCAATGCTCTCCGAAGTTCCGGTAGACATGTAGGAGGAGGTTGACGGGCTGCAACTCATCGGCCAAGCATGTCCCACACGTGCTCTATTGGATTCAAGTCTGGTGAGAATGCTGGCCAGTCTATACGGGTGATATCCTCTGATTGAAGGCATTCGCTTACGATGTTTGCACGGTGAGAACGGGCGTTGTTATCCATAAACACAAAATGTGCGCCCATGGCGTCCGAAAAACAAACGTACATGTTGTTCCAGAATGACGTCCCGATAGATTTGGCTTATCATGGTTCCAATTTGAACATGCAAGTCAGTTCTGGAACCCAGAATAATTCCACCCCAAACGAGCACTCCTGCACCACCGTAACGGTGTCGTTCAATGATGTTTTCTTGGTGGTAACGGGTACCTGGAGCTCTCCATATGAAAGTCCGGCGAGAATCAGACTGCAAGCTAAACCTGGACTCGTCGGAAAACATCACACAAGCCCACTGTTGCGGTGTCCACAATGCATGCTCTCTACTTCAGGCTAACTGCAGGCGACAGTGAGTTGCAGTAAGTGGAATGCATTTGACAGGTCTACGAGCATATAGACCAATTTGCTCTAAGCGTCTGTACATGGTCTGCCTTGAAATTGTAGTACCAGTGGCTGACCCCCCCTGGGGGGTCGACGTAGAGAACTCTGCGAAGCTACTGGCTAGGATCTGTACCTAGGCAGTCTCGGCCACGGGGGATAAAATTTATGAAATTGGTGGTTCTGAAGCCCCTGGGAAAGGTCACTTATTGGCCGGCCTCGGTGACTGGCATGTCCTGAGCGGTGTGGAACCATAGCCGGAAGGCTTGGTTCCCCCCCGGTTTGCTGGGTAATGGCCCACTGCGACGGGCTCGCCCATGCGACTGGTAGGAGCATAAGACGACCGGTGCTGCCTGGTGAATTCCAGGTGGTGCGCTGCTCCTCTGGAGGGTAATAGTGGAGGTTGAATCTCCACGATGTGCCCAAAGGGGGAGTAAACCTGTAGTGTGGTTTAGTTCACGGGGCAGGGAAGCCTAAATTGTTGTTGTTGTACCAGTGGCTGACGAGACAGGTCTGAGGCTGTGCTCCGCCTGTTTCTTTTGGCAGTAACTGCCAAATACCGGTCCCCATTTGGCATTGTAACTCTGGGGCGACCTGTGCTGTAATGTCTACTCACATTACCATCATCTTGGAATCGTTGCCAAAGCCTGGAGATGTCACTCTGGCCAATTCCAAGTTTGTCTGATACTTCCAGTTGGGTACGCCCACATTCCAGGTGGCCGATAATTCTACCACGTTAAAAATCATCCAAATGCATCCTTTGTGTCATAACTATTCGATTATTGCACTGAAATGCTTATAAAGCGCCTGCGAACAATTTGACTTCTTTGCCTGTATTCCTTATATATCACACTAACACTCTCATCATTGTGACGTACCATTGGTGTCATCTGGTAACTTCCTGAAATTTGCATATGATTCTTGAAGATGTGTGTAGTGATTTTACAGGTGATATATTTATTTTAGAGTTCGATTTGCGCATGACTCCGAACTATCCTTAATTTATGGACATGAGTGTATTAAGGTATATGATGTATGTATTTATATAAAGAAATGCATTTTTAATAAACACTGATTCAGGTATTTTTCTTGGAGCTTTTATCTATGCATTTCACTGTAGTACTTGGATTTATTTGTAAAAAGTAAATGTGGTTGAAGAGTGAGGAATTATTTAGTAGTTCTAAAATAAATTTGGGATTCATTTCTAAATTTTGTATTAATTAACTGAATTTTCTGCTGCTGTATTTGCATGTATATGCTATGCTTCATTTTTTATGAAACTAAGATCATATTTAAAGTATTTATTCAACATATATTCATAAAAAACTTAGTAATCATGTTTTATTGAATGCCAGACTTGAATTTAAGTCTACACTGTTATAGGTACACTTAGTTTAATTTGTTGTTTGTAAAATGTTAATCTTTTGAATTTGTATTAAGAAATTAAAATTTCTATCCTAATATATTGTAAAATGGTGGTCTTTCAAAAGTATGTCTTGATAAACATTTCATAATCATTACAGGCAGCTGAAGAATAGTCATATTTTTCAATTGCGCCAAAATATGTGTAATATTTATTTTTGAATGTTTTTTTTTTTTTTTTTACCAGGGTAACAACTTTTATTTTATAATATTAGCTATAATTTTATAAAAGCTCGTTGCCTTCATTTCCGAAAACTCTCCGAACATAGTCAGAAAAGATCAATTTCTTTAGGTGTATATTGCTCTATAGAAACTACAGCAAGATTTGTCAGCCTAGTCTCCGTCATAGAAGCTCTTAAACAAGTTTGTATATATTTTAATTTTGAAAAAGATCTTTCTCCACTTGCCACTGTTATAAGAAAGGACAACAAAATTCGAAGTTCCACTCAAGTATATATGGAAAACATTCAAGATTTTATACATATTCTAAAATGACAAGGAGTTCAGTTCCAGGAAGGATATGTTTTGACAGAACTTCCAGTTCATCACGAAGTTCCGAATCGCTCAGATTACTCGAATGTTTATTTGTGAGTTTCAATTTCTAGTCTTTACGTCTATTAAAAAGTTCTCTGTTTGAAAGATGTTTGAGGGTTCCTACGTCATACAGGAAACCGTACCGTAGTATGGTCCGTATTCCCGAGTAAGTTCAAATCTTTCTTCTACAGAACGAATAGCAATGTTTATTTATTAAATATCATGTTCTTCCCGCTTAAACCATTAAATTAAATTCAACAGCAATATCGTATGAGCATATCTTTAGAATTTCCAATACAGTCTCGCACACTAGAGATAATTTTTTTTTCGTAAAAAATTTCCATTGCTCGCTTTGAAATCGTTGAGTTTCCTAATCAAAAACACGTTAAAGAGTTATAAAATATGAAATCGATAATAAAACAAATTTCAAATTCCAAATTCGGGCTTCCAGATGCCCATATTTGGTGCAAGATTACATGATTCAAAATTGGATGGCTCTAGGTACCGTTGTTTTACCCCAATGCGAGAAATATAGATACGTTTATGCAGATTTTTCATTATTTAATTTCTTTAAATATAACACAGGGCTGTAATATTTAGTGGCAACAATTTGAAAAGTGAAACGATATTTATAGTGAACCAACGCAAAATGCCAAAACGAAATTAATAACTTTTAGTGTGAAAAATCTAGCGCAAATGTAGCTAAGATTGATCAAATTTAAATTTTTAAAATTTATTGTTTATACTATCAGGAGAGAGTAATATGCTTGTGAAAAAGATTATTGCAACCAGTATAAATATTTAACGAATAAAAATTAAGCAAAATAAATTAATTTTTTAGTCCAAAAAAAAGGTGCAATTTGCTCTGTTGGACTATTATTTTCGTTTTGGCATTTTGCGTTGGTTCACTATAAATGTCCGATTCACTTTTCAAATTGTTGCCACCCAATATTATCGCCCTGTGTTATATTTAATGAAATTAAATAAGGAAGAATCTGCATAAACGTATCTATATTTCTTGCATTGGGATAAAACAACGGTACCTAGAGCCATCCAATTTTGAATAACGTACGTTTCCACCCGAATATGGGCATCTGGAAGCCCAAATTTGGAATTTTTTATTATCTATTTCATATTGTGTAAAACTTTAACGAATTTTTGATTAACAAACTCACCGATTTAAAAGTGAGCAGTGACAACACTCTACGAGGA